TCTCCTCTCCTCTCACTCCAAGTCTCAGGCAGACCCCTCCCTTACCCCCTCAGTCTGCCCACTCCCATCTCCTCTCCTCTCCTCACTCCAAGTTTCACTCACTACCTTTCCCTCCCTCTCTCCTCGTCTCGTCTCGTCTCGTCTCGTCCCGTCCCCTACCCACCAACTCGCTTCCCTGACCCTCTCACTCCTGTCCTCTACCTCACTCAGCCCCCTGTCCCTGTCTGTAAGGCCCCTCCCCTTCAGCTCCTCACGCCCACTCAGTCCCCTCCCCTACCTCCCTCAGCCTCTCATTCCCTTCTCACTGTCCCCTATATCCCCCTCAACTCCTCACTCAATCCCCTTCCCGTCCCCACTCAGCCCTTTACTCCCACTCACATCCCTTCCCTACTCCTCTCAGCCCTTCACTCCCATTCTCACTCCCGCCCCTCACTCCTCCATGCCCCTCACTCCGAAGGTCACTTAATCCCCTCCTCTCCCCGATTCCTAGTCTCACTCATATCCCTCCTATAACCCCCTCAGCCTCTCACACCACTCACTCCCTTTCCCTAGTACGTCAGCCCCTCACTTGCTGTCTCACTCTGCCCCCCTCCTATACCCCTCAGCTCCTCATGCCCAGCCTTAATCTGCCACCTGCTCTAACACCTCAGATCTCTCTGAGGCACAGCTCACACCACCCGGTTCTTCAACTCTGTCCACACATTCTCTCTCCCTGCCCCATTCCCCCACTCCACACTCACTGTCTATGCCCCATCTCCTCCGTCCCAGTGCCCCACTCCAACCCTCATCCACTCTGCCCCACCCTCACTTCCTCTGCCCCACTCACCCATTTTGCTCCCTGCCTGTCCTCATCATCTCTGCCCCATTCTCACCCTCTCTGCCCCAACCTCACCCTCCCTGTCCACTATGCCAGGCCACTAATGCACCAAGCTCATAGTGATCAATTGACAGATACAGTTCAGAGTCAGAAAGCTCTCAATCTGTCTCACTCAGTTCCGAGCTGCCATCGTGAGCTGGGCCAATGATACAGGTTTGATTAGGCAAACCCTGTTTAAAACTGTGAGCTGCCCATTCGGATTGGAGTTATACTCTCCTTACCGGTTTACCTGTTAATTCATCTGAGTTCTTGGATAGTTCTTTGTGCTTTGCTCAAACCAAGAAGATTGCAGACAAAGTTGTGAAAGATCCCATGTGCCTGATGATTGGGATGGAGACAGGTAGAAAGGGACTTTGTTGCAGACAAGATTCGCTCGGTTCCCTCGACAATGTGAGGGAGACGGTGGGAAGTTTTATATTAATATATCCGTCCCAGTAGCACCTGTTTCCTGAAATATACAGTGATTCCTGACTTCAAACCTACCTGGTAATTTAAAAATGTGGACATCGTATACTTACTTTTCACGGCTCAGTTATATTTAAAGTTGGTGTCCATGACATAACAACAATCAATCTCTATAATGGCGCAGAATGAATTCCCTTGCAGGTTGAGGGTTCTACAGATCGAGAAGGCGGTCGTGAGCTGCCTTCCTGAACCACTGCAGTCCAGGTTGACCCACAATGCCCTTAGCGAGGGAGTTCCAGGATTTTGACCCAGTAACAGTGAAGGAACGGCGATATCGTTCCAAGTCAGAATGGTGAGTAGCTTAGAGGGGAACTTGGTGTTCCCATGTATCTGCTGCCCATGTCCTAGATGGGAGTGGTTGTGGGTTTAGATGGTGCTATCATTGGATCTTTGGTGAACTTATGCAGGGCATCGTGTAGATAGTACACTCGGCTGCTACAGTGACGGAGGGAGTGAATGTTTGTGGGTGTGGTGCCAGTCAAGTGGGCTGCTTTGTCCTGAATGGTGTCAAGCTTCTTGAGTGTTGTTGGAGCTGCGCCCGTCCTGGCAAGTGGGGAGTATTCCATCACACTCCTGACTTGCGCCTTGTAGATGGTGGACAGACTTTGAGGAGTCATGAGGTGATTTACTTGCTGCAGAATTCCTAGCATCTGACCTACTCTTGTAGCCACTGTGTTTATGTGGTGAGTCCAGCTGAGTTTCTAGCCAATGCTAACACCCAGGATAGTGATATTGGGGGATTCAGTGATGGTAACACCATTGAATGTCAAGGGGCAATGGTTAGATCATCTCTTATTGGTCATTGCTTGCCATTTGTCAGCCCAAGCCTGGATATTGTCCAGATCTTGATGCATTTGAACATGTACTGCTGCAGTATCTGAAAAGACACAAATGGTGCTGAACATTGTGTAATTTTCGGCAAACATCCCTACTTCTGACCTTATGATGGAGGGAAAGTCATTGATGAAGCATCTGAAGATGGTTGGAAGAAGGAAACTACCATGAGGAACTTCTGCAGAAATGTCCCAGAGCTGAGGTGACTGACCTCCAACAACCACAAATATCCACCTATTTACCAGGTATGTCTCCAACCAGTGGAAAGTTTGGTTCCTTTTACTCATTGATTCCAGTTTTGCTAGGGATCCTTGACACCACGCTGGGTCAAATGCAGCCTTGATATCAAGGTCTTACCTCACCTTTGGAATTCAGCTGTTTTGTCCATGTTTGAACCAAAGCTGTAATGAGGTCAGGACCTGAGTGGCCTTGGCAGAACCCAGACTGGGTGTCATTGAGCTGGTTATTGCTGAGCATATGCTGCGTGATAGCACTGTGGATGACACCTTCCATCACTTTACTGATGATCAAGAGTAGGCTGATGGGGCAATAATTGGCTGGGTTGGATTTGTCCTGCTTTTTGTGTACAGGTCATACCTGGGCAATTTTCTGTATTATTGGGAAGATGCCAGTGTTGTAGCTGCACTGGAACAACTGGTTAGGGAAACTGCAAGTTCTGGAGCACAAGTCATAGAGTCATACAGCATGAAAACAGACCCTTCGGTCCGACAAATCCATGCCAAACATAATCCCAAAGTAAATTAGTTCCATCTGCCCTCTCCGTCCAAACCTTTCCAATTCATGCACTTATCTAAGTGTCTTTTAAACATTGTAACTGTGCCTGCCACTTCCTAAGGAACTTCATTCCACATTCAAAACATCCTCTATGTAAAAAATTTGTCCTTCATGTCTTCTTTAAATCTTTCCCCTCTCAGCTTAAAAATATACATTCGTAGGGAAAAAGCCACCTACCATTAACTCTACCTATACCCCTCATGACTTTATAAACATCTATAAGGTCACCTCTCAAACTCCTACACTCCAGTGAAAAAAGCCCCAGCCTATCTAGCCTTTCTTCATAACTCATAAGAAGATAAATAGGATCAGGGGAGGGCCATCTGGCCATTGAGCCTGAACCACCATTCAATAAGATCATGGCTGATCTTTTCATGGACTCAGCACCATTTACCCACCTGCTCAACGTAACCCTTAGTTCCTTTACTGTTCAAAAATCTATCTTTCTTTGCCTTAAAAAATATTCAATAATGTAACTTCCACTGCTTCACTGGTCAAGGAATTCCATACATTCACAACTGTTTGGGTGAAAAAGTTCTTCCTCAACTCAGTCATAAATCCGCTCTCCCTCACTTTCAGACTATGCCACCTAGTTTGACCTGCCAGTGGAAACAACCTCCCCGCTTCTATCTTATCTATTCCCTTTATAATTTTATATGTTTCTATAAGATCCTGAACCCCCCCTTCCATTCTTCCAAATTCCAAAGAGTAAAGCCCCAGTCTACTCAATCTCTCCTCATAAGCCAACCCTCTCAACTTCTGAATCAACCCAGTCAACCTGCTCTACACCACATCCAGTGCCAGTACAGCTTTTCCCAAGTAAGGAGACCAAAACTGTACACAGTACTCCAGATGTGGCCTCACCAGCAGCTCATACAGCTGCAGCATAACATCCCTGTTTTTAAACTCCATCCCTCTAGCAATGAAAGACAATATTCCATTTGCATACTTAATTACCTGTTGCACCTGCAAACCAACTTTTTGTGACTCACGCACAAAGACATCCAGGTCCCTCTGCACAGCTGCATGTTGCAAATTTTCACCATTTAAATAATGGTCCTCAAACCTTCCATACCCAAGAACATCCTGGTAAATGTCTTCTGAGTCCTCTAGCTGAATAATATCCTTCCTATAAAGGGAAGCAGAACTGCACACAGTACTTCAGAATAGGTCTCACCAATGTCCTGAACAACCTCCACATGACCTCCCAACTCCATTACTCAGAGAAGTTAGCAACGAAGGCAAGCGTGCTAAATAGAGACAGTAGGAACTGCCGATGCTGGAGAATCTGATATAACATGGTGTAGAGCTGGATGAACACAGCAGGCCAAGCAGCATCAGAGGAGCAGGAAAGTTGACGTTTCGGGTCTAGACCCTTCTTCAGAAATGAATTATAAGCGTGCTAAATGCCTTTTTAAGTATATGTCCTTATATGTGACGCAAACCTCAAAGAATTAGGTACGTGAACCCCAGGTCCTTCTGTTCCAGAACACTACCCAAGCCCTATCAGTAATTGTATAAGTTCTGCTTGCCAGAATGTTGTCAGGGCCCGTGGCCTTTGCAGTATCCAGTGCCTTCAACCAGTTCTTGATATTACAGATGGAGTGAATCAAATTGGTTGAAGACTGGCACATGTGATGTTGGGAACCACTGGAGGAGGCCGAGATGGATCATCCGCTTGGCACTTCTGGCTGAAGACGGCTGCAAATGTCTTAGATTTATCTTTTCCATTGATGTGTTTGGCAATCAGCAGGAGGTTTGCTTGCCTATGTTTAACTTCATGGAGGTTCAGAGTCAATGTTGAGGACTCCCAGAGCAACTCTCTCCCGATTGTATCCCACTGTGCCACCACCTCTGCTGGGTCTGTGCTGCCAGTAGGACAGGACATATCCAGGGATGGTGATGGTGGGG